CCCGTTCAAAAATTAATCTTGGATTTAAAAGGCTTACTTGTCACCCTTTAAACTCTAGTACAGGGGTGTCAAACTGCCGGCCCACGGGCCGGACACGTCACATGGAAGCCGCGCCCACTCCATTGCCAGCAATGGCAAAACCGTTCCGATTCGTTGCGCGACATCACATGACATTGCGAGTTTGACATGTCTGCTCTAGTACTTCCATCATTAATATATTTGCTCTGCCCGTGCTTAGATGCACTGATCCTAAACAATCCATCATTCAGATTTTAGTTCTAACATTTGTTGTTTGAATTGTTGATTATACCTGCAAGTTTAAACCTCATTGGTTCAAAGAGGATTATCTCCTAGCTATATGTAATTCAATTGTTTTTTTGCAAATTACCCATAAAGATACAGTACATGGAGAACTGAAACTATTATAATAATCTTTATAATATCCAGTCTCTCATTGCGCCAGTTTTTATCTCCAGGCATAAAAGTCACTTATATTTGTTATTGAATACTGCCATTTGTGCTGAAATGTTGCATACAACAAAGCAGTCCCCTCTGTGGATGTTTATATTTTACACAGCTATAAAGTCATTGGAATTTCATGCAACCAGGGCTTTTTTTGTCATAGAACGCCCAGAACGGAGTTCTGGCACCTTTTTGGGATGGAACCTTGTAGGATAAGCAAGGCGGGTTGTATGACGTGTGTGAGTTCTGGCATCTTTTTTTTTTTTTTACAAAAAGCACTGCATGCAACCATAGAATTAAACTGGTGTACAGTACCTGATTATGTAGGAATTGAATCTATATATATTGCCTTGTACATGTTTAAGTACTTTGTATGAATAGTTTGCTTGCATGAGGATTTAGTCATAGAAAATCAGAAATCAGCCTTCATAAATAGCACCAAATACTCTGAAGCTAGTTTTCTTCGAGCAGGAGGTTAATTCTTCTACTATACTGTCAGATCTTCCGCTCTTAAAAATATTGAAATGGTCTACATACCAAATTGAGAAAGACATTTAAGAATATTACTTCTTTAAAGGGGTTGTTGCTGTTTTTGGGATGGGGAAAATAAATACAATAATTGATTAAAAAGTGATATTGGATGAAGGCTTGTTGTGAAAATGGAATCTGCTGTTGAGGGAATGGAAATCACATCTGAAATGGATTCTGAGCTTGCCTGAACTTTTTAAAAAAGTAAATAATTAAATTGAGTTTCTTCTCATTTGCTGCAATTGGTAATTGTAATAGATGAAGTTTGCAAATCCAGCAAGAATCCAGATTCTTCTTAGTTATTTTCTGATAACTTCTTGCTCCTTGAGAGTTCAGCACAGGATTTACATCTTCCTGTTTGGAAGGATATCTGAAGTTCAATTAATGCCCACTAGCTTTTAAAGCTGTGGCTAGGAGATCTTAAATGATAAAATGTGGTTTTTCACCTAAAACACTGAAGAATCAATGAGTTCGGTGAAGAGGAAGAAAGAAAATATGTGGTTGAAAGGCCACAAAAGAACTGACAATAGTTGTGTGTGTGAGAGAGAGAGAGAGAGACAGAGAGGGAGAGAGAGAGGGAGAGAGAAATGCAATTTTTAAGTTCCAGTCAATTTTTCTTTCTTCTGCAAATTGAAGGTAGAATCATGATATAGATACATGGTGGCTCTATTCTTACTGCAGTTAAATAAGGTTCCGTTTCAAAACTCTTCCTTGTTTCTTACATCTGCAGGATAAGAAAAATTTAAAGAAATAATATGAGTAAATGTAGATGGCAGCCTGTCATCAGGAATATTCCTCAAGTATCCTGTACATGAGGAGACAATTGTGCGCAATACTTGCTGAAGTTAAAGCTTAGATATTGTTGCCCATAATGTGAAGGCAAGTTTACAGTGATTGCAATGATAAAGGCAACCAATCATAAAGCTGCTGACAGATGACTAGAAACAATCATTGGTACTATGAGCATGAGTTACAAGAACTCAAGCAATTACTGACAGATGGTCTTGGTGAAATGATGTTTATTGGGTCATAAAGATTCAGAAACAGCTGAACATCTGAACAAAAAAACTATTTTCTTTAAAAGACCTGGGAATATGTGCTTCTGTTACTTGCATTTTGTACCTTTCTTGAGCTATATATAAATCATCCAATTGGTAGGTATATATTCCGGATAATATACAGTTTGGTTTATTTGAGGCTTAGAGGTGGATCACCTGATACAATTAGGCTGTTTCATAAAGTCTCCCTAATTTTTTTCCCCATTCAATGTTTGTTTTTTTTCCCACTTGTAAGCTAAAACTGTGGAAAAGAAAGAGAATTGCATCAACCCGTTTTTCTTCATATTGGTTCCTTGCTAATCAGCTGAGCAGTTTGGGTGGAATATGGATACTGTATAACCCTTCTCTCCTCTCTCAATTCCTGATGATAGAGACAGACTATAAGTGAAAGGGACATATCAATTGCTAGCAAGCAAAGAGTTCTATTTAAACAATGAACCATAACATAAGTCTTAACATTATCAGGTAAAGTACTAATTATGGCATGCATATCTATTTTATTTATTAATGTGCCTAAATTCAAAGCAAAATGAGCAATAATTTGATTTTTCATTAATATTTTATTGTGGTTCCACTTTAAAGTTCTACCAGTTCAGTTAATAAAATAATGAAAAGCAATTCTTCATTGATTCCAGTTCATATAACAATGCAGCCTAAACAAATAATTTTAAAAAGCCTCGTATCTCAAATCCACACCTGAAATCTGAGGGGCAGGCTTTTATGCACTGGACTGAATATTGGAAAGGACCATTCAAAAAGTTTATTAAGGTCCTGGCAAGAGAAAAATAAGAAAAAAATATTTAACAATTAGATTAATAAAGCCTGGTTTCATTAAGTAAAATAAAATAACAAAAGGGAGAAGAAGATAATTTAGGAAATTAGGATTAGGAAATTAGAAGGCAGAAAGAAAAGTTTAAAGATTATGTTCTGTGTTGAAGAGCATTTGCTTTCTAATCTGCTGATACTTCTAAAATCTGCCTTCTAATTTATTTTCTTCCATCTCTCCAATAGTTTCATTATAAATTTGTTTATGGATCAGTTAGACATGATTTGCAAAACCAGTTTTCCACTGATATCTTTCAAGAATACATTGTGGACTGAATCATGAAATTCAGTTAAGCAGTGGGTGAATGGAGGAAAAACTCTGTTCTTGAACAGTACTTCTATCCACATTTCAGAGATTCGGACTATGCTATCATACAATCTCCCTAAGTTTAGTTCTCTGATCATTTGCTGCTGATAATAGGCAAGAAGCCTGCTTCTAGAGCCCTGTGGGACTTCTTAAAATCATTAATCAGATTCCTACTTGCAAGCTCACGTGCCCTCCAAATAATAGTACTGTGCAATATGTATTTTCCCAGAATACGTCCACAAATACATCTTGAAAGGGAAAAGAATGATAAGTGTATATGTAAGCATGTGCAGGAGAGAGAAATTTATATTCTGTCTTTTGTGTGGGAGCTTCAGCAGCATACATTGTGCCTTCTTTTCCTATTTTTCCCCATAACAATCCTATGAGGTAAAGTTGGGCTAAATCATCTACAGTGGTAAGCTTCTGAGGCCAAAGGTGAAACTAGAATCTGACTCTTAGTCCAACATCTTAACCACTACAGTACACCGGAATGGGTCTCTAATATGCATGTATGGATGAATAATTTGAAGTGTTCATTGAACTCAAATCAAATTTAAACTTTTGTTTTATGAAACCAAGTATAGCTAACCACTGATTTACTTCATTCTAGGGCCTTAATATTAAATTTGCTATATGTTGACTTACTATAAAGTCAACTGTAGAAAGATGTTGTACTTCATTTTGTGCTATAGATTTTAGAGTTCTATCGTCTCCCACATCAGTTTACATAGTTGCTAAAACACCTCTGTTCTTTTTGCATCAATATTTTGCTCCTATAAATCTTCTGTGCAGAAGGGAATTAATTATTCCCTGGCTAAATGTGGATTCCATCCATTTATGTTAAGAGAATTCTTCTTTGCCTATTGTATGAAAATGTAGATATGACTTTCTAGTTCTCAGTATATCAAGGCATAGGTAGAGTTTTATTTGACAATAAATACAGTATTAAAAATAGTTATCTTGCATTCAGAAGTTAAAGAAAATCTCATGAGATGAAAATAGCAGACAATCTTAACTGCAGACAGTGGGTGTATTGAAGATCAGCTTTATGATTATATTTTGGGGGCAGAGAGTAGGAACGCTTGTCTGAGGAAATTATCATCAAATGAGGCTTTTCATTCATTCATTCTTTCTTTCATTCATTCTTTATAGTCACCCATCTCAGTCAATGACTCTGGGTTGCTTACAATTGAAAAAAAATGTATTACAATGAAATATACTAAAAACATCCAGGTTAAATATACTTAGGAACAAGATGGCCAGTTAGCAATACAGCCAAGATTCCCCGGTCCAGTTGCTTGATCTTTTTGCCTGAGTTCCATGCTGGTTCTTCTTCCCTTTATCTTCTACTTCCTTCCTCTTCGTGTTATTTCCCCCTCTTTCTTACTTACAATAGACAGAATCTCAGAACAACTATGCAAAGTAAATAAAACATTATTCATGTTCCACTCTGCTTTGTTGTGCACTGATATAAGAAAAGACAAGTATGTAGGTAGGTGTTTGCAAATGATACGGCTGAAGTCAAATTAAAATCTTTTGTGATCTATAAAATGGATCGCTGTTGGGCTTGTTTTGGGTAAAACAGGCCTGAATTTTGAGAATTGTATGGTATGAGTTTGTATATGTTTGCTGCTACAAGTGCTATTACCATTGTGTGTAAATAGTGTGAGAATTACACATGAACAGAGTCACCGTGTGGTGAAATTTAATAAATAAAATAAATGAAAACATCTGACTCATTCATAGGAAGATAAATGGGCTATTGCTTAGCTTTCAAACTTGCTGTGAACTTCTGATGGGGCTTTTTATTGCCAAACACTTCTCATGTGGCTTATCACTATGTTTCTTTATCCCACAGGGTGTCCACATTGTAAAAACTCAATTCCACATTTCACAACAGCAGCAGAACTCTTTAAAGAAGATCGTAAGGTAACTCTAGAGTCATTTTGGATTTTTTTGGTAGGAATTTCAGCTTATTTGGTGTGTTGTTTACTTTCTTTGCTTTCAGAAACATGTGAATAATTTCCCACTTTGCCCCTTTTCTTGATTTCTTCCACTTAAACTTGGGTAGAGGAAAAGGAGGTATTTTGTTTTGGGGCAATCTCAACTTGAGGAGAAGTACAGTTTAATCTCTTTGTCTAGGATTTAAGGAAAAGAAACACAAACATAAAAAAAAACCCCGAGAGCAGCTTGAGCTCTACTTGTTATAAGTGTTACCACTGGTTCTATTACTAAAAGAGACCTACTGTTTTTTCAGTTGTAGGATGAGACTTATCATTAGGCTGAGAATGTTGTTTGGCTAGATTCAGACTATGGGAAAGGCTCATTTATTTTCTGAGAGTGGTCTTCTAACACATAATGTAGATAGCATTATCATCTTCAACAGTCCCATGATCTACTAATCAAAGTTCAGAAAGATCATTGCAAAATGGCAGATCTAGTTGTAAGGTTCAAATGGTAAGGTTTAGGAATATTGCCCTATGAGAAAAGTTACTGAGTCTTGGGGAAAGTGAACGTGGAATTCCTGACCTAGGTTTAGTCAAGTGTGTAGAAGTTCTTAATGCTGAATGAGCTGCACATTAGAAAGTGAATATATCTATGCATAGCTATATAAATATATATGCATAAGCACAAACTTAATATGTATTTGTGTTAACCATTTTTGGGGTGATGCTGGTGCTATACGTTTTCACCAAAGTGAATGATATAATTTTGCCACAAACTTTCCTCCCAAGATTGCTTCAAATGAACATTGCATTATTCTCTGATGTTCTTGAGTGCAGGTCACAGAAGAATGAATTTAAATTAAAGGAAGGCAGATTTAAGCATCCTAAAAGTAAGAGCTTTTTGATAGTGGAACCAATTACCCAGAGAGATAGTGGATTCGCCTTCACTGTGTATTTTTGGATCAAGTCTAGAGACCCTACTATTGAGAATACTTTAATTAGGATTCCTTCACTGAACAAGGAGTTAGTCTTAATGGTCTGAATGGGCTTTTCAAACCCTGATTTTGAACAAGAAGTTGAATTAGGAAAGCCATGGAAACTGCAATACATTCCTCCTGCTGTAGCAAGCACTTCAAGGAGAAGTATATTGCCTTCTTTTGCACATATGTGAGTGCAAATCTTGATTATTAAGCATCAGTTCCTCCTTTGCCATACCATCAATACTAAGCAAACTTACTGGTTTTCAAAACTCGATATGGTTTTATTCCATCTGGCAACCCATCCCAGGTACACATACAACCCCATACATACTCCTTCCTCCTCCATAGTTACAGCATGCATGAATACCACAACTTTGTGGATAGCCCATTACATGACTCTTTCTCAACTAATTTCCCTGATACTGAGAAACTTTGTGAGTATAGTGTTAAATAACTTTGCCCAAATTATGGATGAATTCGGAATTTACATTGCTTCCATTGATTAATAGATTTATTCAAAACCTGTCAAAGGTTGAGATGTCGTTTTAGCCCTCAAGATGGCAATTGATGGGTGCAGCCCTTATTTCAATTAATAGTAGAAATATGAAATGTGCCAGCCAACTAAAATGTAGAAGTATAAAGTTTAATGAGCTGGAACCTAAGTTCCAATTGAGGATATTGAGTTTAGAGTAGTTCCTGAAGGCCAGGCATATAAGAAAAACAGCTATGTTTTTACCTACCTTGTTTGACTTTTCAAGGTAGTGGAGATTGATAATTCTATACTATTTCTTCAATCATATGCAATTCAATTCTGCTGAAGTGTTCTTGGGTTTGCTAATGACCTTTATGGATATTCTATACAGACTGTAGTGTTGTTTAGGAATTCACTTCAGTATTATCATAAAGCTCTTTTTAAACAATTCCTTTTTCAAATTTCTGTGAATTTTTTTTTTGGGGGGGGGTCTGGCTGCTGCTTACACAGTTCAGTAGACAACAGATAAGCAGATCTGCTAAACAAATTGAACTTTAAAAATCCAGCAAGCTTTTAATTTTCAAAGGAAAATATTTGCATGTACCACACAGCTTTCTACAAGCTTGCATTTGTCTCCAACATTGTGATTCTCAATTTTCCCTCTTCTTAAGTCAGTTAATAATATCAAAATGAAGGAACAGATTGCATAACCCAGATACAAGAATTAAGATAAAGAGTTATATCTCTATGCCTTTTGCTAGCTATTTATTGAAAATCCTTGAACTATGTCAGTGCCTTCACAAGGGGCTTTGAGAAACTGCAGTGCATATTTTTAGGACCATAATTCCAGTACCTTCAGCCAACGCAAATATTTGGCTTGAACTGTTTCCATTAAAGTTGGCCGTCATGAAAACAATTAGGAAATTTTGAAAAGACAGAGTATTTATAGCTGATTCCATTTTACTTCTGACATTCCTTTAGAATTGTGTATTTGGAATAGTTCTTGCCCACTTGCCTGTTTTGTACTCAGTCTGTGTAAAGGTAAAGTTAGTGTAATATTTAGACTTAGGAGGAAACAAATTATCCAATTGTCATACAGCAGTATATCATAAGAATATTAGAGACCTAACACTAAATAAACAAAAACATTTTTTAATGTTGAAACCAAAGTGTATCCTATTTACATTCATGCAGTATAATCAGTATCACACCCAGTCTTGTGTCATCTTAAAGTCTAACCAATATATTCTCTTATGAACTGTTGTAAATATGAGACTGTAAATATACCACTGCATTTTATATGGTTTTTATGCTTTTAACTATACAATGGCCAGGGTCATTCTGAGTGTAAAAGGGGCTGTACCTAAATTTGATAAAATAAATAAAAGATTTAGGATTTTCTTTTCCTGTTTACCAACATCAGCAACTACATATCTTGAAGGCTTTAGTCTAGTCATATCAGAAACAGCATTAATACACCAAACAATCCTCAACACTTCTTCAGTAACATGTTACCATCCAGCCTGAGGGGCTCATATTCTAGGACCACATTCTCAGTCACTATCTCATCTACAGCTGTGGTTTTCTTGGAGTGGTTTGCCATTTCTTTCTCCCTCACAGAATGTAATGACATCTTTGCCATTATAACTAAAGTGATCATCTGCCTCCAGCAACTTCATGTATTGTCACCACCTTGTATAGATAACAGCTTGCTTTAACTGGACTGCTGGGCTAAACTTCACACCACGGGTGACCTTATTGCGACTATGTATTCTACATACTCCGCCTTCTTTTTCATCACAAACATTATCCCCAGCATACGTGCAGAATCCAAACATAGGTTGATCTCCTGGAAATCATCATGTAACTTCATTGAGATGTTCAGGGAGCATGACATTTAATTAGCATAATATTTAATAAAAACTAAGTATCTTTCACATCCCCTGTATAGCAAACCAGCATTCTGTAATATTCACATGCAGAATCAAGTTGAAGTCACTTGGCCTCAGCATCCTTTTCTGTATAAATGGGTTTGTCAACTTCATTGCTTTCTAGAAGTAGTATTATTTTTAAAAGAGATAACATTTCAGTCTGAGAAAGAACATTGGGGGAATTAAAGACTTGTCCTTTTTCATTCTTTTCTAAAATCAATGTTCAGTAAGCTATTCACTTCCATTTTCATAACAAAAGTCAATATTTGCTCCTGTGGAGATTTATTTCCTTGAATCAATAAACTGATGAGTGGCAGTACATAATTTTAACAGCAAAAAGCTAACTATTCTTGCAGAAGGCTTTTATTATTGCAACCACATGTAAGACCTTAAAGAACAGTCCTTATAAAGAGGAAGAAGGAGAAGAGCATGAACCTTTAAAATGACTTTTTATTCTATTTTAGTCAAAGAAAACTGAAAATGGAGTTAATGCGTTGCTGTTCATTTGTTTGAACACAAATAAATAATAGCAGTTATATTTTTCAATTGCTGATCATTTAAATAAAAAAACCCTAAGTTTGTAGAACAATAAATCTAAATTGAAATATCTTACACAGTTTTTCTCTGTTTTATTACACTGTTTGAAAATACCAGTAGTGCTTTTTATTAAGTGTTGAGTACCATCACAACCCGTGTCATAGCTGAATTCACTCATCTGTAGGATAATAATTTGTTCCTGGATATGAACCCCAGATATTTTGATGGTTTAGGATTTTGTTCGCTTTTATCCATTTTAATATCACAGTGACAACTAAGTTTTCAGAACATTCCTTTAGCTATCTTTACTTCTTTTTGACTATGAATGTGGTATTACTAGCTTATCACTCTGTGCAGATAAAGATGCCTTTTCTGGTAAAAGAGACAGAAGGTCATCTGTTCCAGGATTCCTGTTTAATAAAACAATCTAATCTGTGTGAATTGCTGCCTTATTGAGTTCAGTGACAACCAAGTCCATGTTTGGGACCTTTGGTTAGTATTTTATGAAGTATGCAATGTATGAGGGGATACAGGTAGGCCTTGACTTATTATGACTCCATTGAGCCCAAAATTTCTGTTGCTAAGTGAGATATTTGTTAAGTGAGTTTTGCCCATTTTACAACCTTTCTTGCCACAGTTGTTAAGTCAATCACTGCAGTTCTTAAATTAGTTAACATAGTTGTTAAGTGAATCTGGCTTTCCTGTTGACTTTGCTTGTCAGAAGGTTGCAAAAGGTGATCACATGACCCCAGGAAACTGCAACTGTCATAAATATGAGTCAGTTGCCAAGTGATCAGGTGACCATAGGGATGTTGCAATGGTCATGTGAAAAATGGTCATAAGTCATTTTTAATTAAAGGGAAATTTCCCTTTTCTGTACAACCTCTTGTTCTTGTCTCAGTATCATTTCTGAGATGGAACAGTGATGAGAACTACATACATTGTAGTTCAAATGTGACCGTTAAAGATACTAGAAATAACCCATTCTGTATCCTTTCAATAAATCATTAGACAACTTTTTACTAAAAAGAACATCCAACTGTTTCCTGGAAAAATGTTTTAA